GGGAAGGAAGGGGAGAAGAAGGGTATATTGATGACCTCTCTGCAAGATATGCTTCATTGGATAGGTTGTCTTCATTCGATAGGTTAACATCCACAGACCTTCTCCAGGTAATGGGCAATGTCAATATCTCTTACGGTCAGCCGATGAATCCCCTTCTCTCTTCTGGTGAATTCTTGACAATGAGTACTGATGCACATAAGAACATTCATCTAGACCCTAGTCATGGTAGACCTTACTTCGTTGGAAACAATGGCAAACGACAAATCAGTGAGGTCGATGATGAAGATGATAATGATGATGACCCCCAGCGGTTCTCACAGAACAATCAGCAAAAAAGGATCAGAATTTGGGAGAGTACATCATCAGAACTTGATGCCATCCTAGAGCAAGTCGAATTGTCTGTGGGAAAAGCTAGGATGGTATCTGCAGAAAAAGAGCAAGCACGCATGAATGCGCAACTGCAGTTGCAGTGCATGAATGAGATGCTCCAGCAAAAGGACAGGGTCATCCAGTCCTTAGAGAAGACAAGGGTAGAAGAGCAACAGAAGTGGCATCTGGAAGCTTGCCGTTACGAGCATGAGATCAATGTCATGGCCAACTTGGTCATTGGTTATAAGAAGGCATTGAGGGAAATACGCGGAGCTTTTGCCGGGTACAGAAAAAAGTACCCACGGGGTGATGAGCCTCTTTATCATGTTGTCGTGGGCTCTGGTGGTTTGGTTCTTTCTGCCAAGGAGTTGGAAAGGCAACGTTTTGAGAAAGAGGAGGAAATTCGACGCACTGCAATGGAGATGATTAATGGTTTTGAAAGGGAATGGATGCTTAAGCTTGAACATTATGATTCATCGGTTGTCATTCTGTTTGGGAGGATGGTGGAACTCAAAGAAAAGATGGAACTTCTGAAGGGAAGGTTGGCGAAATCTGTGACATCGGATGCTTAGATGCTCGAAGATGCATGTCAATCATCAATTACTTTTCGATCCTTTTTTGTGGCATTAGTCTACTTAATATGGCAAATTATGTGCTTTTAGTACTTTGGAGCATATCCAATAGTTCTGCATCATTTAACTTTTAGTTAGCTGATTCTAAGTTAATCTGACAATCATATGCATGAATTGAGAAGATCATTGCTCTTTATTAATGTGTTTCACAAGTAGCATTGCTATTCTCATGCTCAGCATTGCATTGTATAGTTTTACTAACTTGTTGCTATCTGAACGCGGTTCTGTCTCTTCGATAAAACATTAAGAATACCTATTTCTCATTTGTGCACACGACCTTCAATCTTTTAACTTTCCGATGCTTTTGAATCTTGTTACCATGTTCAATGTGTGTCCTCAGATTTTTGTTGATAAACTGGCTGGCCTTCGTATTAGCGTTAGCCAAGTATTCAAATCGTCTTTCGATAGAATTATAACTGAAGGTTGTAACTGTTGTCAATTTTCGAGATCTTTCATATGTTCAAGTTCTTACTAGCTTTATATGTGGAACTCATGCCTGTAGTATTTACGTCCTTGTTTCTGGTTGATTTTTTTATTTTTTTTTCGTCTTTGCTGATAATTATGACTACATAGAATTTCTTATTCATATCTTTCATCCATACTTTGGTTGCACTAGTTTATGTATTTTAACTACGTAGTTAGTTAGTTCTTACTTTTACAACATATGATCTGCTTTACTTTGAATCTTCCATTAGCTCTACAACAGAACTAACTTCTAGTTGAGGTGGCTAAGATTATTCATTGTCGCCCTTTAATTTTCATCTAATCATTCCTAAATTGCTCTGATCTAGGCTCGCCTTAATTATTTAGCCGCATCACAACAGATGTTGCATCAATTTCTAGAGAATTTTCTTTGCTTAAAGTCATACGAAAAAGAAGCAAAGTTTAGCATATATTAAGCATGACCCGTTATTCGTAGACATCCTTTTGATATTATTTCACTGAAATATGTGTTTTTCTTGTTATTTATTTATTTGTTTGTTTATCTAATGGTTTGTTGGGGTGAGGTGGTTTGTGTTCCTCCCATCAGAATTATAATCAATCATTGGTCATCAAGAAAGGAGGCTTTTTTGATAATTGGGCTCAACTTATTATAATCAGAATTATAATCATTGACGGTTAGTGTTCAATTCTTGCCTTTAAACATTTTGGTTCTTAGTTAAAAACATGTCCTTTTAACTTTTTTTTGTCTGTCTTATATATCTGTAATTGTAATCATAATTCCCAAAGCACACACTAATATAGTACCCTAAATGATGAAACATGTAATTGGTACAATGATTCTCTAATTCTATAGTCACATGTTGTGGTGTTTATTGCAGCAGTATCCATAACATGAGAAGGTATTAACAAATGATAGATAATGAGACCTTGATGGACAAGAGAATTTTTTATGCTTGCTTTGAATTGTCATCCTTTTATTTTTGCCCTTTTGATTTTTGATATGGTGAATACACACAATTTGTGTCCTAACAATTGGTTTCTAGTCCAGCTAGATCCCCACCAAAATAGGGCATTTCCTATGGTTCAAAGTTGTCTTTTTTTTCCGAAATACATACTAAGGACATTGTATCAGAGAAACATCAACTAGTTGTTGTACAAGAGGAGCAATGGGTGTGATTTGTAATGGGTTGGTACACTTTCTAGTTGAATATGATGGATGACATGAAAGAGTCTCTCAGAATACTTACAAGATCGATCAACTATGAGAGTTGAATATGATGGATGACATGAAAGAGTCTCGCAGAATACATACAAGATCGATCAACTATGAGCATTGAAGAATCTAATGTCAGGTACACTTTCTAGTTGAATATGATGGATGACATGAAAGAGTCTCGCAAAATACTTACAAGATCGATCAACTATGAGCATTGATGAATCCAATGTCATGTACACTTTCTAGTTGAATATGATGGATGACATGAAAGAGTCTCACAGAATACTTACAAGATCGATCAACTATGAGCATTGAAGAATCTAATGTCAGGTACACTTTCTAGTTGAATATGATGGATGACATGAAAGAGTCTCGCAGAATACTTACAAGATCGATCAACTATGACAATTGATGAATCCAATGTCATGTACACTTTCTAGTTGAATATGATGGATGACATGAAAGAGTCTCGCAGAATACATACAAGATCGATCAACTATGAGCATTGAAGAATCTAATGTCAGGTACACTTTCTAGTTGAATATGATGGATGACATGAAAGAGTCTCGCAGAATACTTACAAGATCGATCAACTATGAGCATTGATGAATCCAATGTCATGTACACTTTCTAGTTGAATATGATGGATGACATGAAAGAGTCTCGCAGAATACATACAAGATCGATCAACTATGAGCATTGAAGAATCTCTTTCTAGTTGAATATGATGGATGACATGAAAGAGTCTCATAGAATATTTACGAGAATCCATTGTCAATATCTCAATAGTCATTTCTTATTGAAGAATCCCTTACACTACCCTCGTCTTCCTACTAGGCATCTTTTCTCGTAACTAAGCCACACCCAATTTCGGCCAAGTGCAAGTGACATGTGCCTAAGCTCTCACAAGTAGGCCACAATAGTATGATCGAAAGATTGCATTTGACATGGCAAGTTTTGCATCTCGAAATGCAAATGTTTGGGGGATATGATACCGTGAATATTTCACACCAATCGTGGCCTAACACGTGGATCCTAGTTAGATCGATCCTACTAAAGTTGGCTAATAATACTCGTCACCTCAAGATCAAATCCTAGAAATCACAATTTTTTTCCTAATCGTAATGACAATGGCACCATAAGAGGGAGCCTTTTCCAAATACCACACACAAGGTTCTTTGTCTGTCGTATAAAAAATTGCTAACCAAAGGATACTTGTAGCCCCCCATAAGTATATCATTGTGCAATAATGCTATAGTAGGTATCTGGTCATCGTTTCTTGGAATAATAAAGTCGGAATTAGATATTGGATTTATCAAGCAGGCTAGAAATATAACCTTGATGGAGAATGTATCAGATCCATGTATGGTATGGTATGGTATGCTGACAGGAAAATTACTGATTTGTCTCTTTTGCAGCTTCTAGCAAATTTTTTTTTTTCTTGTGCAGGAATTAATTGTTAGAGACCTCCTGAGGTGGGAAGTGGGAAGTGGGAAGTGGGAAGTGGGAAGTGGGAAGAATAGCAAATGGAGAAAATTGAAGAGTGGTTCTTTGTTTTTTACTTTTTAACGCAAACTACTTATCTTGCCCTGTTGTTTACAAAAATGGGTAACACATGAAACAAAGAGATGTGAAGAAGGTACATCCACAACTAGTTTTGCTTGCAGGAGGAAGAGGAAAAAGGGTGCCACCATTCTTGTTTCTAATTTTGTAACGAGCCACAAAGCTAACAAATGCTAATGAGTTTTCACTTCATGATTGATTGTTGCTTGTCGACTGCAATACTGCACCTGCTGACTCAACTGGGAGTCTTCAAATTTTGCTGCAGACTGTTTTATTCTTTTTCTCTGGAATTTAGCCTATTTCAAATGGAATGTAGTTAGTCTCTTGTTGTAAAGTCGGGTGCAAGATATATGATGTGCATGCTTCGTCATCAAGATGAAGTGTGTTGTTGTTGTTCATCATCTTACGACAAAGAAGACGGAATGCATGACTCAAAAATTGATGTTTTGAGCTAATAGCATGTGGTTTCATGTTGATTAGGTGACTTGCACTCTCTTTGTTGCCCGGTGATTAGCTTTTGGTGAGTAGAGCAGAGATTTTTCTCTTTTCTTTTGGTGGATAAAATGCAAGTAACAAAAACAGGATTCAAACTCCAAAGTAGCAGAGATCTTATGATAAACTTCCAAAGTAGCCGCTTCACTTTGTGAGGCTTTCACCACACTTACTGCTACAAGCCGCCCAAATCTAGTGTTGGAATAGCGAGACTTGCAAAAAATTTACCCACAAAAGAAAAAAAAAAAAAGCGCAAATACCGCTCAACGCAGAAAATAGAAGCAACTCAAAACCCACAAAACATACCAATTTACTGACCAAGTTAACCAGACAAGAGGCACCGTTTGGGAGGATACGTAAATAGTAGCTAGCAAGAAAAGATAAATACAGAAAGGAAAAACAACGCAGCAAAATAATGGTAGATGACAGTTGAAACCAAATAGACACGGATGAACAATCCGCTGGATAAATACAAAGACTACTAGTAGCGTCCAACTGATAGTAGAAAATTAAGCGCTGTGTCAACTTGATATCCTCAACTGCAGAGTACAAAAAGGGTTTCTACAGTAATTACTGTCAGCAAGGGGCAAGATTAGGTGTCCGAACCTGATAGAAATGTGGTGCAGCTTCGATAAGCCAGGATGGATCTATAGCAATTACATTGCGCATATAATGCTTGTTAGTGGACACGAGGGAATGATACACCACCCACTTTGGGTTAACCCTGTCGACAGCAAACACATGTCAGGAGCAAAGAAAGTTTAGGGAAAGTCCAACACATTTCTTTTTCCCATGCAAAAAAAAAAAATGGTTCAAAATATAAATAATGAACAAAAGATTTATTCATTGTTAGATTTGCAAAGGATGGCGCGAAAGCTGAGTGGACTAAACTGAGCATAAAATTGTTTGTACCATCCTAAAACTACAAGTTTTATTTATCTCCTGTACTAGTGCTAGAACTGACGAATCACATTATAACTATGATTGTGTACATATTTATAATATACTGGTAACAACAAGCATGGCATCAGACTTTGCTAATCTTCATAATGTTCTATGTTTTTCGATCCAGAGAGTATTAAACAAAGGTTTTCTGTTCTGTTCTTTTTTTTTTTCTTTTTGCTTTTGTTTTTTGAGTGCATGCCCCTATGCTGATATTCTATGCTGGCACAATACCAAGCTGGAAGTAGCTGAATGTGACAAGGGTATGGACTATCTGACGGTTGGCATGAATCGTGTGCCAACTGGATGTTACATGGAACACAATATATCATATGGAAATTTCAAATTTGTGGAAAATGACTCAAGTAGCATGTCTCAATTGTTTTACGCTAATGTCTTGATATCCTTTATATTCATCATGTTTTACCTCTCGATGCGAGGGAACTTTCAAAACTATGTCATAACATGGTATAACGACACTAGAACATGCTGAAAGAGATGACTTAAATATTTTTGCTCAACTTATTTTTCTTCAGACCAAGAAGATTTCAGCATACATGCCACAATGTGATAATACAAAAATATGGAAACAGATTATTCTTTTTCTTTCACTCATTCATTCTTTTTTCTTTTTTTCTTTTTTTTTCTGAAAGGAGGGGATAGGAATTGGAATATTCATTATTAACAATACTTGAAAACAATTTGATTGATTAAATAGAAGTAAGCATCTCATTTAGTTAACTATCATGAGAAAAAAAATGTGGACAAATTAGCAATTCCACAATAATTTGCTCCGCTAACCTGAAGAGTACAGAAGAAGGATGAATGTATACTTCTTCAGAACTCCTGACTGTCTTGTACAATCCATTGTGACTATATTCCTACAGGGAAAAGAAAAGTAATTTAGTCATGCTTATGGCCTCAAATACCAATATCATGTTGTACAAAAATATTCTATGATAGAAAAACAACTATTTTGGTGGTCCTGAGGTAACAAAAGTTAATAATGAATAACAAACATAAAATTCTCACAGAAACCCAGAAACTTTAATCTAGCATGGCATACCTTACAGTAAAATTTTCAGTGTGACTTTGAAAATTTAAGTTCCATAGGGGCAAATGGTAATGAGCATGACTTTTATTTGACTCAATGCCATACATTTATTTTGCTTCAGATCCTGTTGGGCGTTATATAAGAACTAATTTCTTACTGAAAAACGAAAGTACATTAGTATTAAATGGCACATGAAAGTAAATTAAGTCAGCAGAAATTACTGATTCCAAGAAAATACAGAAAAAATGTTTCTAGATTTTTAAAGAAAGTTCTATGGATTTTCAACCAATTTATCATATACATAAAAAGAAGTAAATTATGAATTTACTGGATAATCACCAACTTATACTTTCTCTTTTTTCTTCTCATCCTCATCTTATCTTTCCCCTTCCAATGGGTTACTAGAGGTAAGCTAGCCATGCCTTGTCTCACCCAAGAGCCTAGGCACATGTCAGTGCCCTTGCCTTTGTTTTTATATATTGATTATTAAGTATAAATTTTTTTAATCAATAGTTGATGTTTTACCTCTAGTTTGTGCTTTACCCAGCCCACAAATGTCCTGTAAGAAAACTAATATTATGAATGTGATTTACCATGGGTCATCTCTTATGTCAATTAATAGTGTTTGGCCTTGAAAAATAATCTGAACCTCTACATTTGTGGTTTATTGTCCGACTGGTTCTTTTGACATTGGTTTTAATTATTCATCATTCTGTGGCCTAGTTTTTTTGTCCAAATATATTGCTGGTCGTAGCTATTTACAGGTTATAATGACAATGATTTGCATCCTTAAGCCTAAATTTAGACTTTACTACATAGCTCTTCTTAAGGCAAACTTCACACAATATTTATAAAGATGCTTATAATGTTAAATGTATGGCAACAACCACATATTGTGTGAATTTTGTCCAATTAAAGTGAGCCATCAAAACATCTCCCTTGGAATATAATTTTGGAATCATGGTATAAAAATGTCTTAAAGAATAGGTATTCCATAACACAATAATGTCATATGATAACAGACCTCCAAGTGGCATGAATTTGCAAAAAATCCAGCAATTATGGCCTTCCTTAGAATCTGCAAACAACATAAGCCGATTTAATCACCAAAATGCAAATAAAACTTAATTACCCTTACAACTTAATTTAAAATTTAAATCTATCCATTTGAATTATAAAAAGATGAACAACCTTGAAGTTAAAAAGAGGAGCTTAAGTTACAATGAAGCATATAATTGGAGCATTCTAAAAATCTATGGAGCATGTTGCTTGCCAAAAAACTGGAACAACCAAGGCTTCAGGTGGTTTAAGTTTGATCAAGTGAAAAAACCTAATCTCACATTCTTTCAGTTCAAATTTACTGCTTTCTTAAAGGTAGTTTCGGCTTGACAGCACGAAATGACACAATTCTGCAATTGCCATGCATGACATAGATTTTAACTGCTGCGGTAGATTTTGCTCAAGGACTGCTTTCTTGAAGGTAGTTTACTGCTTTCTTAAAAACCTAATCTCACATTCTTTCAGTTCAAATTTACTGCTTTCTTAAAGGTAGTTTCGGCTTGACAGCACGAAATGACACAATTCTGCAATTGCCATGCATGACATAGATTTTAACTGCTGAGGTAGATTTTGCTCAAGGACTGCCCCAGCCCCCAAGTACCCCTGATTACCTTAGCTAGGAATCAAGAAACTCTTATTTACTAGCTGGAGCATCCCCATAGGGTTTTGAAAAGCTTGCACGGTCAGGATGATGTTGGTTGATGAACCAACCATAAAGCAAAATCATGTAGTGAACTTGACGCCTTCTACATATGTATTAACTTCATAAGGCTTATGATAATGTCAGAAGTACCACATAGACTTCAGTTTAACTATACAGGCCGAGAAGTATAATATAGTACAAAACTCAAGAACAATGGGCACTCTGAAAATCCAATGTGATCTACACCAAAAAGAAAACCTCTTTAAGAGATGCCTCAATACCATGAGTGAAACCGAAACCTTAAGAACATGATCAAGTAAAAATGGCAGACTTCCGTCCAATGTATTTTAGCTTGTATCCAATTGATCAAATTAATCTGATATTGAAATGCATAATTCAGGGTACCATCATTTATCCAGGCAACACATCAATAAATTTAGTATGATACAAATTCAGACTCCAAACCCCAAAGCCCATTCCTTTTAAACCATGTTACCATGCTAGTTATTCTGCTCTTTCACCTGAAAAGCAGAAAAGTGCAGAATGCCTCAGCTAAGGCAAATATGATGCAAGATAGGTTTGCAGCAATTTTGGATGATCATGGATATGTCATAGCCAGTTAGTCCAAACTGAATCAAGGCCACAAAAGAATTTATCAGCTTGCCTCAGATCCGGATTCGAAAAAATGAACATGATTAATCGACTCTTTGAACTCAGCTATGCTGAGGATAAACCAATAGTGAAGGGTTATCAATTTCAATCATTGAGAAAAACATCCTTGAAATCTCTGCATGCTTCAGGCCCTGAGAAAGGATCTTTGTTTGTGCCGGAGCCATCTTCCAGAAATGAACTAGGTTGAAGAACTTCAACGAGTATGACATATCACAGAGTCTAGCATCTAAATCTCAAAAATAGCTAGACGGTACCAACTAGGCCAGAGTACAGATGTAGCATAGTAAAGCCCATTTATTGCAGCACATGGACTGTTTTGCAGTTTATTAAAGCAAGCTGGTCTCATATTAAAGAATGTCAAGCTTTATGCCTGTGGTATGGCTTTTAAGGGAAAAAGCTCAAGATTCTATGTTTCTGATCAATAGAAACTATGGGATGGGACTTTATAGGCATCGGTCATGATGATATCAAAGCATGTTCCCATGTATTGCTGTAGATGGATAAATTTTGAAAATCATGCTCTAATTGATGCTCTTATCCAGCACCTTACAGAGAAGAAAACCTAGTGAGCCAAAAAATTGCTGCTTCAGCATCTTTGGGGCCTTAGTTTCTCTTTGTTATTTCAACAGGGAGTAGCAAGATTGTTGTGGTTAAACACAAATGCAACACGAACCAGGCATGTCAATTATAATTTGAGCCATGGATATTGGCAGGAACAACTAAATGTTTGAAAAGAGGAAAGAAATGAAATTTATGCTATGCCAGTCCCATACAAAAGCAAATAGTTAACACAAGAATATAAACAGTGAAAAGTGGGCAAGTGAACAATAGGATAAATGCCTGTGTGTCTTTTTCACAAGACTTGAGGGCTAAACCAAGTCGCCTCAATAACCGGCTGAGTTGTTCTCTGACATCCACAACCTTCTTCTGCACAAATATTTGTATGAAAAAATGAAAAAGATAATAGCAATCAAAACAATGACACGTATACCCACAATATAGTGTTAAAGAGTATAGCAAGCACCAGTATTCTGCAAAACAAGGAGACTCACCATAGCTTGATAGTTGAGATAATTTTTGTAACACCATTGTGAAGATTTTCCAGAGTTAAGAAACCCTTTATAGACATTAAGATATGTAACATGATCTCCCTGCATATGACCAACAGAATTTCAACAGGATATTGTAAACATTTTGGAGGGTTAGGTAATACTTCATAGACATTAAGATATATAACATGATCTTCTTGAGTAAAACCAATAGACTATCTTGAACAGGGTACTGTGAAGAAGATTTTGCAGAGTTAAAATGAATCCTTCATGGTCATTAAGATATGAAATATGATATCCATGCATTTGATCAATAGACTAATCTTGGACAGGATATATTATGATAAAAGACAAAACAGTTCTATAAGAATCAATAAATTTTCTGTGATGGAAGAATTTAATCTTAAAGGAGCTTAAGGACAAAACATTTAATGGTCTAATTTCACAGTCAACACCAAAATAAAGAGTTTATTTCAAATAAAAAAAAGAAACATAGATACAGAAGGAAAAGTTCAACAGGCAAAGATTTTCCTTTAAGGCAAATATTCCATGAGGGATATAAAAAGCACAAAGATTTTCCTTTAAGGTAAATATTCCATGAAGGATATACAAAGCATCACTAGGCCGACCTAAAAAATATCAATAAGATCACAGTAGGAACTGTAGGATCTACCTAGTTCAGAATAACTCAAGAAAAGTGAGCAAACAGGTGCACGATCAGAGTAGAATCTCTAAATTCATGCTGCATGTTATGAAGATTATACACCTTTCTGCACTTTAGAGTTTATATCATCCAAGATATAGTCATGAGCCAAGACCTAGACTGTGGTATGAAACACCAGCCATTTCAACACCTTGAACCCCTTGAGTGGCACATAGCTAGATGGGGGATCCCTTATTGTCTACGAGTGACTAATGGTTTTTAGTGGCTCCACTTGTTTAAAACAATTCAAGTGAATTGGATAAATGTCCATTAGGCCCCAGTCTGCTCTCTCAACTGAAACTTATGAGTGTCCTTTTTCGTGCCCAACAAAGTTCTTCACTTACCCTATGCTTGTATGGTCCCTATAGCAGAGCAATGGCGACATTTTGCCTGTCGTTGTTGCTTCTTTGACTAACTCATTTTCTTCTCTATGGATCCTCATGTCCTGAAAGGAGTTTGCAACTAGGCTGATATTAAAGTGCAGCATGGCTTAAGAAATTAGAGTTGAATCCGTCACACTCAATGGCCAAGAAATCAAATACAAGCTTTATGAAAGAACTGTATGACACATCACTGAGGTGAGGATAGCGGACCGCATAGGAGCTGCTAGCTATAGGTGTCCTGTAAGCCAATCACATGAGTGATAGCACATCACTCTTTTTGCTTCTTATTATTTATTTGTATTTTCTCATTTTATCTTATGTGTTGCATATATTGTAATGTCTATCGATCTGTGCAATGAGAATCGGATCTTGATGAGATCGCGATAATGAGACTAATTCGTCTATAAGCACAGACCCTAAATAATCCCGATCGTAGGTTGCTCGAGAGGGACATCGAGATAACCAGACAGACTTATGCGTTGTATACCCATCCATATGATGGAGGCGACTAGTCTCATAGTTGCTCATGTGGAGACAACAAGGATACAATGCAAGTGCTTATTGGAGAATAAGTTCATTGATTGATCCGCTCACGGAATGTTGAATGGTTGATGTTACCTCATTGTCAGATAGCGATTTCGTCGTCCCAATTGTGTATCTGGTCCTTAGACTTGAGACACCAAGGATGTCTTGTATAAGTACTCCACTCATTGATACCAGACTTATAGGCCTGGAAGTTCCAGATCTAGCACAGCCGGTCATCGAGAGTGGCAACCAACCTTACGAGACAATTAAATGTCAATAGAAGATCATCCGCTCTCAATGTCATGAGAGAAATATCCTACGTGTTCTTGCTCAAACAAATCCTTGGTCATGGTCATTTGGATTGAGAGAAAAAGAGTTCTCCAGGAGAATTCGATTAGAACAAGACTTGAGTAGAAACCATATGGGCCTGACAGCATCATGCCTAGTATACAGTCTCTAGGATATTAGATGGATGAGGAACTATAGATACACGGTAACTGAGGACAGACAGATCCAATGGATTGGATTCCCCTGTATCGTTTGGGGACTACAGCGCAGTAGCTTAGTACGTTCATAGTCGATGAGTCGAGTGAATTATTATAGAGATGAAAATTCACTGAGCCAAAAGAAGTTCTGTCATGTATGACTCACGGCCAGCTCGATATTGGCCCTAGAGGGTCACACACATATGGTAGGTGTTGCGACGAGTAAAGGTTCGAATATGAGATATCTGCTGGAGTCCATAGCTTATTGGGTATCCAGTAAGCCCTTGAATTATTAGATCTTGTAAATAGGATACAATAAGAGCCAATGACAAATTATTGGGTAGAGGTCCACTAATCTAAGAGGCTTGAGTAGTTGGATGGAGATTCAGTACCCAATAGGACAGGATCCATTAGGGTTAAGTTGACAGGAGCCTCTATAAGTAGGAGGGAACTAAAGGGAGTATGGGCTAGACCCTTTTTGGTTGTCACCTCTTATACTTCTCTCTCCCTCTCCTTCTCAGCCAACAGCCCCAGTTTAGGGAGTGTGGACAGCAAGAAGGGTTGGCCCCTTTTTGATCGCGTGGTGCGTGTGGAAAGGAGAATTATACAGCGATTTAAGGAGCATCTTCACAGCGCCTGCCGTATGGATCACCGCTAAAGAGGAGAGTTGACCTCCTTCATCCTCTTCCACAAACCTGCAGGTTTTCAAGGATATACGATCTCCCTAAGTAACACATCTTTCATATACATGTAGTTTTTCGGTTTTACGTTTTTTCGTGCACCAATCTTCACACAACGACGAGAAATTATTTTCTGTGGGAAATCTGAGATTTTTGTTTTCTATTCTTTCGCTACGCATATGATGCTGCCCCAGGTTTCTCAACAGGAGTAGCTCTAGTCATTCATTGTGGAAGGACGAGTGAGGACTCATGACAAACCTAGAGAAGCCGCTCAAGAAAAGCATGGCATCCACGTCAACGGTCAAGAGGAATGCACTTCATGCAAGCTCCATGAAACTCTACAAAAACGGAAAGCAAATTATGGGGATAGAGCCCACACGAGAAGAGATGGTGATCAAATAAACCAGCTTAAGCTCTAAGTAAAAAGGCTAATATCCGAGTCCTAAAGCACCTAAATGAAATTATAACGGACTAAGAATTGTGATTTTCATCCGATCTCTACATGCAAAGAGAACACCCATGAACAACAAGAATTTCATTTACCTATCATTTTAGGAAGGAATGGCATAGAAAGGCAAAGATAGCACTAGCCTACTTGGAGAAGGTTGGAGAGGGCTGCAAAGAAGATAAAGTGGGTAGACTAGGGAGGGTGACCTAAGAGATTAAAGTTGATGATATGATGTTGGTCAAGCTGCAATCAGCATCTTCCAATTCTTATGGCAACAAGTGAACAAAGGACTAGTGCACAAACATGAAGGCATTTTTCTGGTCATTGGAAGGATAAGCAATGTATCACAGAGAGTTCAGCGCGAAACATGATTCATAGTCCACAATCTATTCCATATGAGCAACTTGAAGGCTTATCATTCTAATCCACAGGATCCTTCAAGGAACATCCAACTAGTCTACCACCCACAAAGATGTCCTACAACTGATAAGTTAAAGATAACTTGGCAGATTGCAAGTGTAAACTTCCTAATGGAATAGAACAAACACAGTACTTGGTGAAGTGGTATAATGCTCGCAAGAAGCAAGTTGGGAATTGGAGGACGGCCTTTGCAGTACCAGCATACGTTAATGAGGACGTCAACGGATTAAGTGTGAGAGAATGTTATGGATAGTTGCAACTTTCAACATCCCTGCAATGCCCACAACTTTGTCAAGCGAGTAGTCCATCATTTTGTGTCATTTTTGTATCGTTGTTAGTAGCAAGGCATGTGGTAGTTTCATAACCTCTTTTGGCTTGTAATTTTGTCTCATAACTCTACAAACCAAGGTTCAGAATTTCATGAATCAGTAGTGTACTAGCCAAGGGACGGACCGGTACTATACCAGTTTATACTATTGTATTGATTGTCAGTACGCCTACTATACATATCGAGTTTCAGAAAAATCCTAAAAAAGACTGAAAAATCAAAAAAATAAGTTCTTTGATACAAGACCTATACCAACCTATACCAGGTGGTACAAGCCTTGTACCAAACTATAAAAGCCCTGTACGAAGTGGTACAGTACCTAGAACGGGTATACTGGGTGTTCTAGACCATGTCTTGGATATAAGACCCAATTCACCTTGGTCTACGTACCAATAGGCTATCGGACCGATAAATATAACTCACTGCATAACATTGCAAACCTTGGTACAAACACTTCACTAGTAATTTCATCCATTAACACTCACACAGAGCCAAAATTGCACAAAGACAACCCTACATCCCTAAATTGAGCTACAGTCTAAAACGTCAGTCATTTCAACATCCTAAAGCCCCCATATTGGTATATGGCTGGATGAGGGTCTAGTATTGTCTAGGACGAGTGGTTGATAGTCTTTAGTGGGTTCCCTTGTTGAGAGGGCTTCAAGTGAATTGGACAGTTGTCCATTAGATCCCAACATACTCTCCCATAACCCTTTTACATTGGCAATCAAAACCTGCAAGTGTCCTTTTTTTGTGCCTAACAAAGTTCTTTGCTTGTACAATCCCTTTACAAAATTTTTGCTTCTTGTTTTCTTCTTTGATTGACTTGTTTTCTTCTTTGCAAATCTTCATAGCCTGAAAGGAGATTGCAACTAGGCTAACCCCTCGCAAATAAATGTTGCTTGGGTGCTTTACGGCTTACATAATTCCAGCTAATTGTGATAGATCCATGGTACATGATTGAATTGGTACAGTTTCCATAAGTGTCGACATAAAAACACTCGGTATAGGTCAGTACCGCCAAGAAAACGAAAGAGGAAGAAGACCGGTGCAAGGGAAGAAGGGGAGATGAAGCAATGGAGGTGGTGGAGGGGACATATGAAGACGCGATGGAGCTTATGACGAGGAGATGATGACACAACAAGGAGGAGCTCGTGGCAGCGAGACAACAAGGAGGTGAAGAGGCAGAGCCACGGATAGAGAGAGAGTGCTACATGAAATAGAGAAAGAAAAAGCGGAAAAAAGAGGATGAGAGGGGGAAAAAAGAAAGAAGAAAAACTAATAATTGTCAATAGCTATAAAAAATTAAAAAGATGATACGATGATACTCCTGGTTCTTAACTAGTAAAACCATGTGGGGTAATCTTAAACAAAATGAAACTCAGTGGTTCATGAACCAGTTCACAATCAGACTAATACTAACCAACTGATCTGTACCAACTACTATGATTGGTATTTTAAAACTTGGATTTAAGATTATAAGGCTTAACTAAAAATTGTACATACAAGAAAATTTTATCATGATTGAAGAATCTACAAAGAATAAATTATACCAATCAAATACAATTATAGAAGAAAAAGACAAACACAACATATGAGGTTCCTACAAATACAGGATCTGAGGACCAATGTACACACTTTTACCTCTATATTTAGAGAGGTGGTTTCATGACTTGAACACTAGTCTCCTATGTTGTAGAGGAGCAACCTTAATACTAAAGTTCATTCTCACAATCAAATATCTGATCAACAAAAAAAAATATTTGATAAAGCAAATCTAAAAATTCATCAAATCCAAAGAAAAAAATATCATGATTTACATCAACGTAAGCTTCTCACCTATGATTTTAATTTTATAGTTTTCGTCTATGATTTTTCTGTCTATACAAAGGAAAAATGGGTTTGTAATTGAGATATTAATAAATGAAACAATTTTGTTTTCTCACAATATATGTAAATAGTGTGAGGTCACGATCTTCCTCCCAAAATGAGTTCGAAGGACTTATAGAGCGAGTCCAAGAAATTTAGTTATTACTCATCTTTTCTCTCTTCTCTCCTTTGATTATCCTACCCCTTTGACGAAGTCGGAAACATATGGTTCAACATAAAAGCTATTCCAAAAGGGGAACATAAAAAACTTTCATTCGCCTTAATACTAGGGTGTTTAAATATCCACTACTCACGCTTCCATTATTTAAAATTGATTTTTATGTTAATCAAGTTTGTTTTACTGAATCCTTGCCTCCTCCCTTTTTTATTGTTTTTCACAGCATTATTCCCAATACCTACATAATAGGTAACAGATTCCTTGCCTTGATATTATACATAACAAAACTGATTATTTTTGTGCAAATATAAGTTAGTTGATTCTAGAGTAGCTTGGTTTTCAATAGAGCCAAAAATGAGTTATACTAATCCACTTGATTCCTAGACAATCCATTCCTCTTAATATGTACAAGAAATCAATTATGGTTTTTTTTGTTCATAACACTTGCTTCCACAATAGATAATAAGTTTAAAACTATTTATAATGAATGGTAAAAGAATCATTAATCCCCCAACAGGTCCCCCAACAACAATTTGCATGAAGTACTCCATTGCAAGTGGTACCATGTAAGGATCACTAGAAACGTAATATTCATAGTTAATACAGCGAAAATGATGTAACAATAATATCAAGACCAAACTATCAGCTACTGAAACTCCACATACTAGAAGTTGATTAGGGTACCTCTGCAGCAGCAAAACGTAACTTCACTTCATCAAATTCCTTCTGTGCTCCCCACATAGAAACCCAAATAGACTGCAGGCATCCATAAACATCAAGCACCTTTCACAGGGCAATAATTTAACCTTGAAGCTGCAGAAAATCACCTGAACAGATAGAACTGCTGCTATAGTGATTATCTCCTCAGAACAACCAAAGTTACATGCTGACAAGATCATTTTAGAGATCATAGGGTCCTGGAATTTTTTGTTAAAACCTATAATGTTAGAATAAAATAAAAATGCACAAAGATTGAAGGAAAATTTGAAGATAAAATTCCACAGAAGCATGAAATAATGGACCAATAAAGCTTACAGATCAGGATAAACATGTAAAAGAAAATTTTGTTCATAGCAGAAGATAAAGAAGCCATTGTTTTCAACATATACAATCTGATATACCTCTTTCAACCTTAGTCCACTAGTACAAATTTGCCACGTGCTCAAAAAAGTCCCAATATGCTGCTTCAAATGTGAGATGTGCCTTCCAAGTCAAAGACCGCCATACCACCCGAAATGGTATGAAACGAGTGGTATGTACTGCTTCGGGCGTGGAACGGTGCATTGACCACTCCCATTTCGGGTGGTCCAGTCCAAATCATACATAAAAAGACCTAAAGAAACATACGACACCGTCCCTAGATTAGAGCTTGCGACCCATTTCTCCCCATGCCGCTGCCATCAGACGTTGCCCACCCGTTGTCGCTTATCTCTCCGGCACATGCCTCCTATTCTCCTCCTCATCTTCCTTCTCCTCCTCCATCGGTCTGTCTTCTTCCTTCCTCTTCCTCTTTCTCCTCCACTGCTCCATAATCTTCCTCCTCATCGCTCCTTCTTCCTCCACTGCTTCCCCTTCTTCCTTCTCCTCCTCCACCACTCCGTCTTCTTCCTCCTCCGTTACTTCCCCTCCTTCCTTCTCCTCTTGTTCCTGCGCTGCCTCCCCTTCTTCCTTCCTCTTCCTCTTTCTTCCTCCTCTTGTTCCTCCACCACGCTTTTCTCTTCTCCCTCTTTTTATTCCCCTTCAAAACACTAGTGCTAAACATTAGTTTTGACCATTATGTACCAGTCCGACTAGATCACAGAAACAAGTTCGACACCCGAAAAGGCGATACTTATTCTAAGTTACAACAAGAGTAAAATGGCATGCTACAATGTAAAAAGTGCTACAACAATTAATGCATCAAGACGTTTGTTGCTAGGGCACTTCATTGTCTACAACTATCATTATCGTCATCCAGCAATTTAGAAACTACACATTTCCGAGTCAAAAGATGAGAGATTTGTTTACCATTGTTTGCCAGTATCTCAAGTTCAGCATCTAAGTTGGATTTTAACGATGAGATACTAAAACAGCACAAAACAAGGTGTTTAAAGAACAAAGGAAAAAAAGTTCAACACTATAATAAATCATTTTCCAAAGAACAATAAAAGATATAAGTTAATGGTACTATATTTGACAATTAAAGAATGATGGAGGAAGAAAAAGGTCTAGCAGCCAAGATTTGATATACGGTCCTTGTTTTGTCCTGTAAGCCTTAGGACCTTTTCCTAATAAAAAGAACGTCATGTTGTAATAGATGATAGAAAAAAAATATTAAAAGAACTGCTGAAAAATATCATGACTACATGGTGAAGGATGATGTTCAGGCTTCTGCTTACAAAGGATTTCACAAATTCAGTTGAGATCTATCCTAAATTAAGAGGATTCAAACAAAAGTGGATTAATTGAATCAAGATATGCATCACCTCCACTAATGCTGCAATATTTTTTCAAAGAAGAACCTAGAAATTGGTTTAAACCTAAAGGAGGGGTAAGACAAAAGGATTCCTTTTCTCATCCTCTCAGTCCATCGATAGATGTCATTATTGAAAGGGTTTGTAAATGGGATTATGCTGAAAAATATCGATGTAAAATTCATCTTGCATTGCTGTCTGGATGACAGCTGTTCTATGTGCTAGTAATGATAGGTTCCATCACTTTGACTCTCCTATCCTGCTTTATGAAATATGTAGGTCAACCAACTTACTCAAAACTGTCACAATCTACCCTAATGGGAAAATTGGCCTGTTAATTTGATGAATCTAGAATTATGTGATCTAAAATGCTTAAGGTTGAGTTATTGGTAGTAGGTCGATCTAGTCTCTGTCTTCATAAACATCTTAGTCAAGGGTGTAGCAATCTCCACCACTCGAGAGGCTTGACATCCTCATCAGTATCCAATATGTCCAAAATTATTTCTATTAGGCAATATGTAGGACCGAGCCGCATGGTGATTTTGTGCCATAAAGTGCTTCCAGCTTCATACATAAGTAGCCTTTTGCTACTTAGGCTCCCTCATCATGCCATTTGATAACAATTATCACAATCTAGCATGACAAGAAACTAACTCACTGACTTGATGAACCAAAAAATCATAAAACCCAAAATGCTTAGACCTAAGCTAATGGTAGTAGACCCATGTAGCCCTCTATCCTGTCACAAACATCCTCTAACTATCAGCATGGAATAATCGAGGTGTAATAGAAACAACAACTCCATAAGTTAGAGATCTGCCACCTAACACCACTATGCTTCAGCTGTTTTTCCATAAGTACCATCGCATCACTTTGACAAAACATTAACAAGTTGAAAAAAATCTCCTCTCTTTAAATGACAGGTTAACCTGGTTAATTTATGCCTCTCTATTACGTCTATCTTCCTCCTCCCTAACTGGTCAACTAAAAAAGTCCAATTCTAAACCTTCTTACTGTAACTTCAATAGCACATAAATAGCATTAATGGGAGTGGTGTTTGGTAACTTGGAATATTATTTGTGGCAAAGGTTTAAAGATACAGATAGAAAACTAGAAGACCTCAAAGTATTGGAGAAACTATCATCTTGCTAATGTCCAATTCCAGTGTCTACCTCGTTAAAAGGTGTTACAGAGCCAACCTGGTTCAGGACCACCTTTGTCACAAAAGTGGTGTCAGGTACAAATGGGAGTCAGTCGTTTGACCTGCAAAACATAGCTCACGGGTATCATGGTCCACGTTATCGAAATGAGATGCTTCATGGTCTAATTCGGTCACAGAATGGAAGTGGGATGTGATTCAGCTGCATCATGGCTTTTGTCATTTTCTCATTGCCAACTATTGTAACCATCTCCAACAAATACGATTTGCTTTGGTTACAGTGACAGATCTGATCCAATTCGTTATCATGATGCTCTTCTGCATCCAACCACCTTGCACCACGCCATGCAATCATTCATTTCCCTACAGCGAAGAACTTCCATAAACTTGTGCTCTCAATGCAATGAGATTGAAGGTCCTTTATTATCTATTATTGCTCAAAGAGCAAATTGATAATCTAACTACCAATCGATTTAGTTGACATAGGGCTACAGCTTTTGACTCCTCAAAGCTTTCACAAATTAATTGAAAGGAGAACCTTGAGTACAAACTTGCACCAAAAACAAGAATTAACATGCACCCATTCAAGTTGGTGGGCATACCAACCATATCAGTTCGACCACTTATGGATGATCAAAACATATTTCTGTATATAAGTCTAATGGCACTTTAACTAGTTCCTTTTTTTCCTACTAATACCCAAGTATGCAACACTGGTTTCCACAGTACCGGTGTGAGGTTGATACCCAGGATTCAATTCCTTCCTAGCATGACCACAAAGCTTGGTGGTGTTAGTTTTATTTCATTTACAATCAATTGCCCACTACAACTAAACCATAACACATGTTTGTCACTAATGGCACTTTAACTAGTTCCGTTTTTTGCTACTCATACCTAAGTATGCCATAGTGGTCTACACGGGCCGGTGCGACATTGGTACCCAAGATTCAATTCCTTGCTAGAATGATCACAAACCACACTAAATCCCAGCTTGGTGGTGCTAGTTTTATTTCATTTACAAACCATTGCCCACTACAAATAAACCATAAGACATGTTTGTCACTAAATGGATATGACGTTACACAATCTTTCTTAAAAATCCCAATTATCCAACAAATAACTAAGGAAAAAAGTATTAACTAAAAAAAATGCATCTGTAAAGAAGTGTTATTAACAATTGAAGTTAAAGCCAATACCAGTGGAATCTCAGCCACCTGATAACCAATAGGTGACGTGAGTTTGGCATCTTCATCAAGAATTCCAAGAGAGTATAGAACTTCAAGAGCTCGCACCATTGCCTCTGGTGGTGGAGAAGCTAGCCAATCAAAGCCCAATATATTATCTATACCCAATGCCTTTAACTGCAAATTGAAATTATTAATATTAGGTATTGCCCTTGAATCTTGAAGATAGGCTGAAACACTGTGCAATATAAAAAGCAACAATGAAGACAAATAATATCATAATTATCAATTATTAAGTATCATTTTAATGGAGAATCATCTAGCTATACAAAGGATTTCAAAAAAGTTTATTCTAGGTAAAGAAATCAACAAAAAGTTATCAATTAGTTCGCCTAGAAATTCTAATATTTGTGTTGAAAATTGAACAAGTTTTTTGGTATTTCTAGGGACTCCTTTTATATTAAGTGCACTTATTTACTATTTAGATATCCTAGAAATCATATTTTGGATTTCCAAGAGACATACTAATTCCCTAGGAGACTACTCTCGGGAATCATTGCCTTCATTGATTACACTAAGGCTCATAACCCCTATAAATAATGGAGCTTGTCAATTGATAACTTACTTCATATTTGAATGAAAAGAATTACATCTTTTCTAGTCTCTTAATCTCCTCTCTTATCTCACACTTCTCTTTCTGTCTCTTCCTCTCTCTTTCTCTCTACTTTCCTACTTTGTTCTACATCAATTTGGTATCAAAGCTCATCAAGAAACCTGCCCTATACCTCATTGGAACCCAACTAGCACCTTCAACCAATACTGACATCACTTACAAATCCTTACACCTCCAACGTCAACCCCTTGCGTATGGAGTTAGACTTTGGGGTAACTATCCCTACGGAATTAGTGGACCACATAGCTCTCAGTGCCGAGTAAAATTTTGAAAACTTTACTAATATTTTTTCTATCAGAAAGAAAAATCGTATATTTTATTAGATCATGATTTTCATCACTTCTCCTCTCGTTTTCTCCTTTTGTTTTTCTATTTATCACCCTCTCTCTCCCATTTAGCTACAACTACAGTACCACTAAAATTTGAACCCTTGAAAGTTGTCTAAAAAAAACCAAAACAAAATGTAAGAAAAAAAAATGAGTATCATTGAAACATTGCATTTCCACCTTGTGCATTGCAACAATTAACAACCTCATTACAAAAAGATAATTTGTCGATAGCATTAGATCATGACTCGACGACGTGAAAACCAAACCAATCCTAATGAATTCCTAAACCAACAGAATGAGGTAAACACCCTTCGGACTAAGCTAGCAAATCATGACACAATGTTGAACCAGTTATGTGACAAAATGACCCAAGTCCTAAGAACTCTCCAACACCTTAAAAAACAACCCATGAATGAGGCGATTGATGAGTCGATTAGGCAACATGTCCATTCTTCACAATTCATAGCTTCAAATCAAATAATTTTACCTACTACCTAAGCCCCAATTCAAACAAATCCTAGGTCTACCTATAGGGCACTTGTTCACAATCATGCACCAACAATTCCTAATGACCAAGCCTTTGACCTTAATAATGAATTCCTAGAACCTACTAGTAATTCACAAAATCAAGTAATAGCAAACGAGTTTGGTTTGCTGACAATATGAGGGAAATGGCTAGAAGGGTCAAAGTGGATGCGTCGAACTTTGATGGTAGGTTTGACCCAAATATGTTTGTTGACTGGTTAGATAGCATGGAAGACAACTTTAAGTGGTATCGAATGATTGATGTCGAACGTGTACGATTTGCAAAAATGAAACTGATAGGATCCACTACCAAATATTGGCAACATATCCAATATAGTCTTAAACACCATCAAGGGACTCTTTTTGTATTAAGTGAGCTCATTTATTGTTTAGGTATCCTAGAAGTCATATTTTGGATTTCTAAAAGGCATACTAACTCCCTAAGAGATTACTCCTAGGAATCAATGCTTTTATTAATTATCCTAAGGCTTCTAAACCCCTATAAATAGTTGAGCTTGTTAATTGATAACTTACGTCATATTTGAATAAAAAGAATTGCATCTTCTCGTCTCTTACTCTCCTCTCTTATCCCACACTTCTCTTTCTTTCTCTTCCTCTCTCTTTCTCTCTACTTTTCTACTCTGTTCTACATCACACTTTAGAATCCCAAGGGAGATATTTCAAAAGTCTCTCTGCTTATGAAGGTAAAAATGTGCATAACGACCCTCCCAGAATTCATTCTACATTGACGAGAAACTCACACTAGGTTGTCCATTTTAGTCCCTAAAATCTACTATATCTAAATATTTAATTGCTCAGACCCTTCAATGTTGCATTTCAATCCCCAGGACCCCAAACCACAATGCATATTCCTGATTATATTTAACCATAAATATTAGCAATAATCCAAAATGTTCATATAATGATGATTAAACCTTTAATAGTACAAAATTTCTCTACAATTACGTTTTTATTTCAAGGTTTCGGAGAGACGTCTTTTATATTTTAAGACTTATGTAGTTCTAAATTTATATGATTCAAATTAATTTTACTGACATAGATTACAATTTGGCATATGTGTATTTTATATTTGTTATTTATATTCGTATTACAATTAACCATTAAAACAAAGGTCTTATGGTAAATTGATGATCATTTGGATCCTAATTATAAATCACATGTATGCAATTTAAAATGTAGATCTTGCTGGGGGTAGTCAAACAAACTCTTTTCTTTTTCATTTACTTCATCATTGAATAGAATTCAGAGTCATCCTTTTTTTGGTTTTTATTTGTTTCTTTATGAATAAGCAAACCAATCTCCCAAGCCATGAAAGATTGGCTAAATCACAGAACCATGGGCGATAATACAGTCTTTAATGAGTTATGCAACCTTTCTATTATTATAAGAGATACCAGCTCTTTCCTGCAACTTTATATTTACAAAATAAAGACCATACACAAATATAGAATGACAATTAAAGAATAACATTAAAAAAGACTCCTGTTACATAGTCCAAGGGTGTGTAAATTCTTTCTCTAAATGGTTGACATGAGTACTCGATCATACCACAGAGGCATGGACAAGTAAAATAAGTAGCACTAATACAAAAACCCTAAAGATAACAGGGGCTAACAGGCAATATTATACAAAATAAATAAGGAAAACCAAAAGAAATAAAAGAATTAGAAATCCCAATGACTTACATACTTGTATCACACACGAGACAAGGTTTGATCGTTGCATTTCTGGAATTCCTTCTGTGGGCATTTCCTTCAAAAAGTACTCTTCTGTATATAACCTGTGAAATGATGAGAACAAAGTCAACAAACAGTGAAAGGCTAGAGTTTTGATGGCTGCCACCGCACATTTAGGGCGATAGTGTGAGATTAGTATCAAAAATACAAAGCAACCAATCAAAGCAGAAGATAGCTTGGTAGGTATTAGACATACAAATTTAACCCCATCTTTTTCTCTTTTTTTGGCTTCGAATGCCAAAGGTATTTCCCTAGCCACTACACTGCTGTGAAATTAAGACTGCTTTCTAGAGAGGCACAACTGGAGAGAAGATAGGAAAAAGATAATCTAGCCAGAGGTGAAAAGAATGCAAACTCCACCGGCAGTCCAGCGCAAAAGGATGTACGACTTTCTTTCCTTTTTGGCTTGCTGGAAGGGGGAGGGATGATTAATCATCATGTCTGTTGCACAAGCACTCATAAGAAACTTTTATCTTTAGTGTAGGCACAACTACAACTACATTACGGCATCATGTGCAAAGAACATCCATTTATTCTTACATATGAAAAATTTGAACAAGATCATTCTTTGCAACAGCAAAGCAAATTCACCATCAATAGATGCACAAGAAGCATAGAACTTAAAATCATTTGCTCCTGAAGGTCCGATACAGAAAAAAAATTGCAAATGAAATTACATGTGCAATACTAAGTAACATGGCACAATTAAGCTTGAAGCAGCAAACAATTTTCCATGCTGATGCAGCTCAATTCCATAGGAGAAAAATTTTTATATCACTTCACGATAGTTTATTAATGGCTCTCAATGTGATGGCTACTATTTATATCAGATTATTGGCAATTATAGGGTGGATAAATGGAGACATAAAAGACCCTGGTGAGTAACATAAACAAGTCATATGAAACAGGGTCTGCCGTACCGAGGTCCGATGCACTGTATCACTGTAGCAGTGTACTGTAGCAGTGCTACAGTACTCGGTACACCCAAATATACCGCTCGGTATACCGTACCGTACCGGTACCGAGCCCAGGTCGAAATATCGGTACGATACGATATTACGAACCTTGATATGAAAGAAGCTCTATGCAAAGATCCCCAAACACCATCCCATCCTTAAAGACAGATAGGTGCAAGTTTTCACCTTGCAGACATACTAACCTCTGACACATTAAACATTAAAAATAAAAAAGATAACAAACGCATTATACTATATTATTTTAACTGCATCTCAGACAGAAATTCAGTAGTAAATTATAGGAACTCCAAAAGTGGTCTTTCGGTATTACCTAAAGCACTTCCCTGGTTGTATTCTTCCAGCTCGCCCTGCCCTTTGTCTTGCAGAAGCCTTAGATATTGGTGTCACCACCAAGCTCTCAATGTCAGAAATCTAATAACAAGCATGTTAGCAACAGCTTATAACAAAAATATGCACAACAAAATAGCTAATTGTCACAACATGACAGTTCATAATTAAACATAAAATATGCCATCTATATGTTATATTGCTTCTCTAAAGAAATTACTGCTAAATTGGAATTGATGAAATAAGTGAAACCTATGTCATAAAATGAACCTTTGAAAGACAATGGAAAGACAGCACTAAATCAAGTATTTTTAAAGAAAAGGAAAAAAATTTCTATTACATTGAATAGCGTACAAGACGCGTGAAACCAAAAACCTATCACGTATGTAACAATGCACTAACCATAGGAATGTCCCATCAACAAAGACCACAAAATCAAGTATTTAATTTTTTTGCACAATAGCTCAAATTTTATTTTCAGTAATCAGCAAAAAAATTAATGAGATGATGGTGGTGGAAATAGAAGTAGAAACATAGCATAAGCAAAAAAGCAAAATATCCACAATTGTTGGTTGGCTCACTCTCCAAGTTATATAAATTCAAATATTGCAGTATACTGGTGGTACTGACAGTATGATACTAGTCCTATACTATAATGATATACTGTTGTTTTAATGTATTAAATAATTAATAGTATGAAGCATGGAATGATGCTTCATTTAGACCGGTATGAAATGGGTGATACATATCAGTCCGGGCATGAATCGATACGCAGACTACCCTTGTTTTGAGCAGTCAGGTCCAACCCATTAAAAAAAAACCTTAAAAGTTCAACATTCAATTAGGCCTCACAAATGCGAGTCAAGCCCTCTTCTCCATAAGCAAGAAGTGCATAATCGCTGCCACCTACCTCCCTGTCACCCACTACGTGTTGTTGACTGAAGGTATGCTTCCTCTTCTTCTACTCTTCCTCCTCTTTCTCTTCCTCCTCCTCTTCCTTCCTGAGTCTTCTTCTTCCTCCTCTTTCTCCATAGCCATCTTCCTCTATAGCCATCTATTCCTCTTCTTCTTCATCCTCTTTGAATCATCGATACATACCAATATACCATGTGTTGACACACTAGTACCGACCTGTCACAGACAAATCTGTACACGATGTGTTCGATGTAATGTTTGTATATGTCTCTATCTTTTGGTTTTGTTCATTCTTTGCACAACATATATAGGTCTTGCAGTAGGCTTGACAGTCCCATTTTAATTGGTTTTCATGGCTGTTTTAGTCCTGTAAGCACAGATTGTGTGCAGTCGTCACGCAGAGACAAAACTGTCCAAAAATAAGTCGTCCAAATAGCGATTTTGAGAGTTTTTTAGCTCCACAGAGTAGTGTGGAGTATCAGCCAGTACAACACCCTGGAGCTACCCAGATGACACATGGCTGGATGGGCCTTTGGGGTATTGCCTAGGGTTGGTTCGCTGCCTTGTTCCGCAACAATGTCCTGTGAGCACTTGTGGGAATTTTTGACCGCGGTGGATCACCTTGGACCCTTTGTCACGCGATCATTCAGAGCTTGTGAAGTCCATGTTTCTAATTTGTATTGTATATCAAGTGTTTGCTGAAATGTCTGCTTGTGGGATCCCGAACTAAACACTTCATCTAACTCGTCTTCTCTTTTGCAAATCCTTAAGGGACCATAAGAGGTTTTAAGGAGATTAACCCTTTACAAACAGACACATAAAAGTGTCGCACGACTTAGGTAAAACTAGCTAAATCTGTGACATATGGTATTTAAAGCGGGACAAGCATACTTAGAAACACTTGACATGCAAACGTAAGGGACCTAACGGGACTGCATTGATGGCAACCAACACGCGTGACCATTTAAGGGAAACGAGCGTAGAGACGTAGAGAAAGGAGTCACTCGGAGGAGCAAGAATTCGATATTAACATTCAAAGAAATGGTTAACCCTTCGTGCAAGAGGCACCACGAGGATAAGCAAGCTGGGAAGAATGCATAACACACAAAGGTTGAGATGGCTAAGTTCGAGCTATGGCTCAACTCAACGTTGGCAACCAAATTTGACGATGTTTAAGGCAAGTAGGGGCGCTTGGCAAAGACCGTGCAAGGAGGGATGAGTTGCTCGATAACTGAAATAGTTGTGCAAAGCTCACAGAAGTGAAGGAAATTGCTAACTCAAAGAATTCAGTACTCATGCAAGGGCTTGTATGCAGACGATGGATTGTCTATAGCCATCCTAAGGCAACTGAAACTCGACAGTATGGAGTATAAAAACTTTCTCTTCGGCATGGGAAGGATACCTCTATAAGAAGCTAAAGTGTGCAGTAGATTTAGCATGTTGCTAGGCCTTGAGGCGCACAACGGAGACTATATTAGTGAAGAGTCACATTCTAACAAGTGTGTTAGCGATTACGGAACAATGCATAGTTTGTTCAACAAGACGGAGTAGTCCAAGGGGATGGTGGTCTCCGAAACTTTCAGGGGGAAGGATGCAAAGAGGAAAGTTGCTCCAATGAGATCTCGAGTTAAACGCTTCATCTGACCCGTCTTCTATTTTGCATATCCTTAAGAGACCATAAAAGGTTTTAGGGAAGCCGACCATTTGCAAACAAATAAGCAAAGGTGCCGCACAACTTAAATAAAACCAGCTAAGTCCATGATAAGACAATGCATACATGTTCAACCTAAGATTAATACTAATCTAGTACCCAAAATGGTGTTTCCTGGAACGGAGTACTGTGACTCAGACTATATTAGTCAGTGAATACTAATCTGGTAAAATACTATTACGGGTACTAGTTCTGATGTAAAAAATCTTTGTTTCAAGTTTCAACTATATCACCACAACATAAAGATTACAAAGCCAAATATTATGAGCCAGTGAACAATAAGTTGTTAGATAAGTATCACCAAGTACCATCAGAAGAAAATTAAAGACCCTCACATCCTCCTTTTGAGTTTTTAAGTATTTCTCCCCCCTTCTTAATTGACTCATATAAGCCAATGCTATTTGAGTTCTCATAAATAATCTCAATTGTCCTTCCATCCTTCCCTTTCCTAAATAACAAACACCTACTTCATTTAACCTAGCTCTACCATAATTAATTATCCTTTGTCTACCTTTTTTTCTAATCCACAGCTAAAAAACCAAACGTTCTTCCCAATAAAGCAAATTGTATATTAGCTTGAACCTAAGGTTAGAAGTGGGGTAAGATAATATCTATCTAAATCTGATTTTGTATTTAAATTGAGTCAGATATAGTTACCTAAATGTTTGACTTGTCACATATCCATATTTATATCCAACTTTTTGCCCTTAGATATGAATTTATTCTATTTGTACCCAAAAATCTGAAATCTATATGTATCTCAAAGTGTTAAATTTAATTATATAAAGACAAATGTTATTTAATGATTTTTATATATACATACACTTTTTCTTCTTTTTTTCCTTATATATAGACAGACAGATGTTAATTTAATTAAAGTTTTCTATTATAACAACTAAGGCCGATAATTTTGACCTAGTGTCACAATTTTTGCTAACTATATATCAATATATATATAGTCTTCACCTCTATAGTTAATTTAGACTTGGCCAAATTTATATTAGTCATATATTTGTTTCATAGAATGCTAAGATGAACGTGTGGAGTTAATAGGAACGATACGAAAAATATATTTATTCGTGAACAACTATATCGGTTCGACAGAGGAAAAGATGAGAGAGAATTGTTTAAGATTGTATGGATATGTGCCTAGGAGACCTATGGATACAATAGTTAGAAGAGGTGAAATGATTAATGTTAGTGGTACAAGAAGAGATAGAGGAAGATCTAAGAAGACCCTAATAGAAACTATAAACAAAGATTTAAGTACTCTAAACTTAATTAAACATATAGCTTTTTATAAATCTCAATGGCAACAAAAGATCCATGTAGCCGACCCCAAATAGTTGGGACTTATAGCTTTGTTGTTGTTGTATACATCTGACTTATATCCATATATGTATTGAATGTTTGGAACTACATAATTTTATATATGTCTAATCTCCCTATATAAATCCATAATTACTGATTAAAAGTCAAGGTTCGCAATTTCGTATCGTACCGGAGTATCGAGCGGTACGATTTGGCGTAACGCTCGATATATATATATATATATATATATATATATATATATATAAAATAAAGTTCAAAAATAAAAAAGGGCGACATCGCCTCGTTTCTTCTCCCCGCACGGGGAGAAGAAACCTCACGAAGCTTCTTCTCCTCGCATGGATGAGGAGAAGTCGTCGACGACACCAAAGCCTCATCGCCTCAGACGAGGAGGAGGCGACATCTCATCTATGGCGTCCAACGAGGGAGGGCGACAACGGATCGGGATCGTCAAGGGAGAGCGACGTCAGATCTCCAAGTTCTCCCTCTTCTTCCTTCTCCCTCGGCTAATACCGTCTCGTAGCGAGCGACGACGGTTGAAATCGACCATCACCGACCGATTTCACGTGGTAACAGGGCAGAAACAGCCCCAATCGGCGGTACCGCTCAGTAGCAGGTTGTCCGTGTACCAATCTACTGGCGGACCGGTACGTACCACCCGGTACGGGCAGTATCATTCGAAATTAAAAACGTAGCTAGAAGTGGATACAAATATGAGCTCTCCAAACATAGACCTGCCTCCTTGTATTTCTCCCACCTATCACATTATTCCTACAAAAAGACATACACATAGATAATTCTTTAATCTAAAAACTAAAAGAATATAGAGAAATAAAAGATTGTGGGCAACTAAAAAGGGTGGCCTAAGTACATTATACTAAGGTCTGCCCGTACCGAAGCGTACCGCCCGTACCAAGCGGTATGTACCGGTCCGATAGGTTACCGGTACGCGAACCGCCCGGTACCGCTACAGTGCTACAGTATTACACTGTAGCACTGCTACAGTATGAAAAAAAAAATAAAAATTTATTCGGTACGCCCTGATGTACCGCCCTGACACGG